CACCTTGGAAGAAATAATATTAGAAAATATATCAATGATAAAATTTGCTGATAATAGTTTCTCAAAATAATTGAAGAAAGAAACAAAAAATTTTGATATAAGGTAGTATTTATTAAGGAATAGTTAACACATCATCCTGAAGGTCAAGAAAAGGATGACAGTTGGAGATCTGGAGGTTTAGTTTAACTGCATCTTGTATCTGAAGAAAGATGTAGGGAGGAGATCCATGGAAAATTTGAGTGGTATTTAATGTAAGAATCCCTTTTGCCAGTTTCTTTCTGGTGTCAGGATTATAAGCTGGGAATCATTCAGCATATGAAAATCTTAACATGGGTGAGAAAATCTTAACATGAGAGGATGGCTGCCTCATGTTGATCGATAGGAAGCTCAACAAGAGGAGCCACAGCAGCTAGGGCGGCAGCAAGTTGTATGGCAGCAGGTGGTCTGACAGCACACAGGGCGGCAGCAGCTGGACACTCCACAGCTGGGGCGGCAGGTGGTCTGGCAGCAGACTGGGCGGCAGCAGCTGGACGCTCCACAGCTGGGGCGGCAGGTGGTCTGGAAGCAGACTGGGCGACAGCAGGTGGACGCTCCACAGCTGGGGCAGCAGGTGGTCTGGAAGCAGACTGGGCGACAGCAGCTGGACGCTCCACAGCTGGGGCGGCAGGTGGTCTGGCAGCAGACTGGGCGGCAGCAACTAGAACCACAGCAACTGGGGCGGCAACAGCTGGACACACCGCAGCTGGGAGGACCGCAGATAGTCTGACAACAGACTGGGCGGCTGTAGGTGGTCCTGCAGCAGATGGGCTGGCAGCAGCTGGGCTGGCAGCAGCTCTCCTGGCAGTAGTCTTTGCCACAGCCCTGCTCAGAGCAGACAGAGCCACAACAGGAGCTGACCATGGTGTCGGAGGAGGAGGTTCTGGGTGGGTTTTCAAGAGAGTGAGTTTCCCAAATGTGGGAGGCCCCTTATTCCCTGTCCTCTTTTATACTCTGCCACTGTCACCAGGTTAAGGGCTGTTTCCTTATTATTGTTTCTCTTAATGAATAAACAATTACCAAATTAGTTAATGGTAGAAAATTCTATATAAGAGTTAGATGGAATGCATTCTTTCTTGGACTTAGGATTTGTCAAATCCAGTCACCTCTTGTCTGCTTCCTTATGTGTATCATCAATTATCAAAGATTCCTAATAT